TCATGAGCACCCCCAAGTACCTCGAAAATGATACCCATATTGCATTTATTTCAAAACTCGTGTCCGCCATCTTGGATTTAGAAATGAGTGCCATATTCGTAATGAGCATCCCCAAATACCTCGAAAATAATACCCATATAGCATATTTTGAAAAATCGTGTCCGCCATCTTGGATTTACAAATAAGTGCTATATTCGTTTTTCATCGACAAAACCGAGCATATCTGTAGGCACCTGATCGACATTGTCGGGCAAATCTGTAGGCACCTTTAACTTAATGATGAGTTAAGCAAGATACAATTTCCCCACTTTTGAGGGAAATGTTATTCCATGGCATCATTATTTGTATATTTGTGTGCGTGCCGACGAGCGTAGTTACAAGTTGCTTACGCCTACATGAATTTGGTTTTTGCCTCACTTGTGACAGTTCGTTTGATATGAAACTATCCTTCTATGCGTTATTATTCTAAGTTATTAAATAGTCTATAATCCAGCACTCGTGTTCGGTTTCGTGTTTGCGGCCATAGATATAAACTAAATCCTTATTATTCTAAGACTAAGTCTATGTTTGCGGCCGTGTCCCACCACGATGTGAGTGCTAGGCAGTGGACATATAGACGGTTTGTGAGGAATTGCAAACAGGCGGGTATTTTGTGGGGAGTGGAATAATGGGCGATTTTAACATATTTATGAATGATTTTATTTTGTCTATCATGAACAGTCAGTTAGTAATAAAAAAATATGATAAACATGATTTTTTTGCAACATCGCACATTACTCGTTTGTTTAGGAAACGCCATACATAATTTATAGGTTGTCCCACGACTATGCCATACCTTAGAGGATGGAATAGTCTTAAGTGCCAGACAGAGGAAAAGTATGTATGTATGTATACTTTAAATACCATAGATAGAAAATTTTACTAAGGGTCGTATTCCAGAACTCTACTCAATGCTCAAGTCAGGACTTGAGTATGATTTCAAGCACTGGAAATACTATCCATTAGGGTAGTATTTCCAGGATTCAAAGCACTAGAAATCATACCTTGCCATTACTCAAGTCCTGACTTGAGCATTGAGTAGAGTTCTGGAATACGACCCTGAATTTTGATTTTGAAAACAATTCGAATACTGCGTTCAAACATTTTTAAATAATTTGCGTTTCCTTCGGCAAGGCGAAGTAGTCTGTTGAACGTGGCAGACGACTATGTCTAATTGCGCCATGACAATACGTAAAAAATAATATTCCAAATATTGGAAATTATTTTAAAAATCACGAATAGAAAGTTTTGAGTGATGTTACGACCCTAATGGCAGGGACTTGAGTATGATTTCGAGTGCTTTGAATCATACTCAAGTCCTGACTTGAGCATTGAGTAGAGTTCTGGAATACGACCCTAGGAAGGAAAGCTTAGAACGATGCGCGACCTTCTACAGACAGCGGTAACAGAGATCCTTGATAGTTTGTCCAGGGAAGTACTGCCACCTTACCTATTTCCGCGCAGCCAAGATGTAACGCGAGCACTACTGCGTTCCGGTTTTTTAAGGGTGAAAAACTACAGGCACACGGGACGTGTAATTCTGTGTCATCATTGCGCTTAAGTTTGGAGTGGCACTGTAAGGGTGGGACCAGACGAGCATAATCTTTTAAGTTATTGAGTCGCTTAATATGGTTTTATATAGTCCGGTTTGTGCCACACGACGACGCAGTGAGTTGTCTGCTGACTCACGCGCGCAATTAAGACCGAACTTCGAATCCCACTGTGTGACGTGTTTGTGCGGATGATGGAGCACAAGTGACGAGGGAAACATTCACGGGCACGTGGCTGTATAATCAAATATTACAATTGATCTTGTACACATAAACTTACACAATATTATATGAAATTGCCCTCATTTCAATCTGTCCATGTTGAGTGGATGTACCAACTTCTCTTTTTTTAACATCATGACTTACCAACATCATCTAATGGTTCTTAAATGCACGTTTATAATCCGTTACTCTATGACACAAACACTCGCACAAGCGCAACTGATATAATACATTCGTCTGGTACCTTAATCGAATTTCAATCGAACGTAAAACTAGGGATTCAAAAAACACGATACTAGTGTGACTTTTTTCAAAATTGTTATGTATACTGCCGTGATCAGTAAAAAAAGGCCGATCTGTCACCATTTTAATCTTTTCCTAGGTAGGTATGATATGAAGTTATTACAAGAAAAAGTAGCTATTTTTTAATTTCATTTCTGCAAACAATATTTTCTCGGTTTTGAGTTTTTGTCACAAGCGCCCTTTCAACTAACGGCAGGCAGGTTTATAGAAATTCAAAAATGGCGCCGCCGAAATAAGTTTATTCTAGCGCGGACAGTACAACTCTTTATTTTTTTAACGGCGGCGTATCGACTAAATGGAGACTTTTTACCAGACTTGTCGTAACTCTTAAAGTCGAGCATCGTCACGCTGGAATAAGGGACGCGGTTTTCCACATCATAGTCTGTGGGGAAGAGGAAGGGCAATCATCTGAGGTAAAAATGAAACTCCATTATAATTGTGAATAGTTCACAGAATATATGTAACAAATACAAATATTCAAAATCAGTTTCATTGGCAACCAAGTTTACAATTCATGGTAGACAATATATCCAATGTAAACTGACCAGAGAAAAGAAAAGTAATTGCAAGAACAAAAGCCAACTCCATATTCTGAGAAATAAGAAAAAATGTTTTAAAATGACAAAACTTAAACCAAACTTCTAGTCAATGTAAAAAATCAAAGAGCGTATTAGTCTCTTCTCAAATATAGAAATGTTGATACAATAGTTGCGTTATTTTTGTTTACGGAAATGCAGTCCTAACAAAGTTTAACACTTTAAAAGGGTGCAATCCAAGTTTTTTCTTTTTTTCAATTTTTATTTATGTATTTTTTTATTATCGGGATCTCCTTATTACTGCTGTTCATAAGCTTATAAATGTACAAGAACCATGCTAATAAGTAATAGTTCTTGTAATATCCTTAAAGCTGCACAAATATGAGGGTGTTTATTGTGCCAGCTCAGATTTTAATCTTTATTCCTTCTTTGTAGCTTGTTGCTTGGCCTGGTGAGCCTGCAAAACTGCAACAGCTTCATCCACCTTGGCTTTAAGGGACTCTGCATGCTCCAACATGTGCAGGAGCTCAGAGTTATCAATTTCTAAAAGCATTCCAGTTATTTTGCCAGCCAAATCAGGATGCATTCTCTGAATAAGAGGGAATAGTCGCTCTCCTAGCATTTGTTTTTGTTCTTGAAGTGGTGCAGCAGCAAGCATAGTAGCTGTCAAAGGTTCCTGACCCTGGATATGTACAGCGGGCTGTGGCGCTGGCGGGTTGCGCATGTTGGCGGTGTACTTATAACCCGCCGGACGTCCGCCTTGTGTAACAAGAGGTGCACGTATAGATGCAGCTGTTGTTACACCTTGTTGGCCAGTGATTGGTCTAGCACCGATCGAAGCGCGTAGAGCAGCCTGGGCGGGAGCTCTTGGCGCAGGACGGAAAGGAGCTTGCATATTAGGATACGCAGAAGCTGCAGTTTGAGTGCTTGGCCTTACAGGTGGCTGAGTCCATCTTGGAGACGGTCTGATTTGAGTCATTTGTGCGGGGCCATAGAAACGCTGTGCTGGTGGGATAGTAGGCACAAAGTAGCCTCCAGCTCCGCCTGGTTGGAATATTTGGCCCATCTGCTGCATGCGCATGCTTGCCATACGCTGCATATACTGAGAAGTTAGATGGGCTTTACGATCTTCTTTACGTTGAGCTAAAGCTACATACAAAGGTTTTGTTCCCACAATTCGCCCATTCATCTCAGTGACAGCCTTTGTAGCTTCTTCAGGAGATGAGAAGCATACAAACCCAAATCCTTTGCTGCGTCCATCTTCCAACATTACCTGAAAATAAAGTATATACAAGAGCATTAGACAAAAAAAAAGTATGTAAACCTATTAAATGAAAAGATTTTAATTTTTACGTAAGAAATTAAACCCTTAAATGAAAAATCATAATGATGACCACTTAAACCTTTTCTGTTTGTGAATTTCGAGTATTTGCTTTTCTGTGGAGGATGCTATAGTATTACTAGTATTACTGCAGTTTGATAGATGAAAAAAATATTGTTTACCTTGGCTGAAGTGATAGTACCAAATGGAGCAAATTCCTTACGAAGTCTTTCATCATCAATGGTATCATCCAAATTCTTGACATATAAGTTCACACCTTGATAACGAGTCAATCGTTCAGACTTCAACTGCTCAAATTTGCGTTTTAATTCTTTTTGACGCTCAGCTTTTTTCTGTGCTCGTCCTACATACAATGGCTTACCCTCAACTAGCTCTTTTCCATTGAGCTCCATGCAGGCCCTTTCAGCCGCGTCAGGATCTTCAAAAGCTACAAATCCAAAACCTCTAGAGGATCCATCATCTTTATACATTACTTTGTGGCTTGTGATACGGCCATATTTTTCAAACATATCTTTCAACATTTCATCAGAGAAATCTTCTCCAAAGTTCTTGACATACACATTGGTGAACAATTTAGCCTTCTCTCCCAGTTCCTTTTCACGTTCCTTACGAGGAATGAATCTGCCCACGTAAACTTTCTTTCCGTTCAAGAGCATACCATTTACTTTTTCAATGGATTTATTGGCAGCTTCTTCAGTTTCAAAATGCACAAAGCCGTAGCCTTTAGATGCTCCATTTTCATCTTGAGCTACTTTGCAACTCAAAATATTTCCAAAAGCCGTGAAAGTATCATACATAGCTTTGTTGTCAATGGTCTTGTCAAGGTTCTTTATAAAAACATTACCTACGCCAGACTTGCGCAGAGAAGGATCACGTTGGGACCACATGATTCTAATAGGTCTTCCTTTGATTATGTCAAAATTCATAGTGTCCAAAGCTCTTTCAGCTGTAACAAAAGAACAATAATTTTTCTCAATGTTCCAAAACTGCAATACTATTATGATGACATTTTAATGTTATATAATGTAATATGAAAATTTAACTTGCAAGATTTTAATTTCATAATGTATGATTTCCTAAGTTACTGTAAAACATGTTTCAAACACTAAATATCATATCGTAATAATTAAATAAGTAGTTACATAAAGGCATTATAGATTCGTCATAGTTAATTTTTCATTCCACAACTCTTATCAAATGAATAGGTACCTTTATATAACAATACATGATGTCATTTGATATAGTAATTAAGAGTAATTTACAGACCATTGCTTAAGAACTTTGAATTAATTCCATAATCGCAAGCAAGTGTCTGTAACACTCAAGTACAGCACATCAAGCTACACATTGATGTATTTGTTCCGTTCCACGGGAGGGGATTTTCAAACAAAAATGAAAAAAGCTTTATGTGCTGTACATACACACTTGGGTTTCATAAGCATACACAAACATTGTTTGACTGTCTACGAAATATTGCTGCCTTTATACAGCTTTATTGAGAATGTGCAAAATATAACACCAAGCTATTTATTTGTTAAAATAATCACATGACAGCATTGTACTGGTGTGAGATTCGTCAGCTTTGTGCGCCAGATACATCTCAGGTTTTTAATGAGATAGTTGTTTTTGAATTAGCTTGTAGTTTTAAAAACCAATAATATATTATCATTAGTTAGTATATTTCAAATATGCCAATGTTCATATAACTCAAATGATAGAAAAATCCCAAAGTAATCATGATATTAACACTGATAAGTTACAGGGGCTTAATTGAACATTAATTTCCCATTCATTATAAAACATATTAACTTAAAGGTATTGGCAATTTATGTCATTCCATTTTTAAATTATTTCAGAAAATACCTAGCCTAACTTCATTCTCATTAGTCATTAAGGAAACCAATATAATGCAATAATCACAGAATTAAAGGAATGTAGAAATATTTCTTGCACTACTTGTATATCTAATCAAAAAATGTTGCAATGTATATCTGTAAGGAAAGTATTGTGTAAAGACCTTGATACTTAAATGTATCTTACTACTATAGTCATAAGATATAGTTTTGTATGAACTTAACTAGTTAAGTGAATGGACTGGCACGTTGTGATTTCACATTGCTACAAATTGAGACAGAACACCACAGAGCACCAACCTTGACAGAAAATTAAAATGATAAAGTTTAGAGGTTATTTTTTACTTACCATCCGCAGGCTGCTGAAAATTAACATAAGCGTAGCCGAGGGATCTACGTGTTATCATATCGCGACAAACGCGAATTGAGAGTACCGGACCAGCCGTTGAAAATTTCTCAAACAACATGGCTTCAGTAATATCGGAATGCAAGTCTCCGACATACAGAGAGGCCATGGGGTAATTGGGTGGACCAGGATTCATTTTGAAAATCTCACACTAACAGTTTTATGTAGAACATTAACTTTACTTAACGTTAGCAACGAGTAACTTCACTTTCTCTTTACAATGACTATCGCATTCCTTAGACCACGTTGCACGCTTACGTACACTAACTTAAAATCGAGTGATTCCCGTTTAGATTTTGTTTATTTTACTATTTTTTTGGATTTTTAAGAATTTTATGATTTTTTTTTTATTTTACAAGAATATTTCACGAAATTCTGAGGATTGTGTGACCTATATTCGAGGGAACACACAACCTCACGTGAACACACCTAACTCACAAAGGGGAAGGTGACGTTTTGAGGAAGACAAAAAAGCAAGATGGCGTTGCCATAGACTACAGAGACTCATGAAGCCAACAAGCAGACCAAAAAGAAATAGAAATAATCTGCGTACCCATCTAAGGTACTTAAAAAGCTTTAGTTACCGTTGGTCTTTAGAATATTTTTTGGTGGTTTTTCCGAGTTACCATACATGCATACACAGAATTATTTCTATATATTTCAGCTATTATAAAGGTGACCTTATCGTTTGTAAAGGTGTGTGTACTGTTAGATAATTTTTCCGGAAAACTCTCGGAGAAAAATATAATTTCGAGGGCTCATATTATGTTCTATGTTTACAAATATCTTTTGAGGTTTTACTTAGCGTGAATTCTGAAGTAAACTTGTATAGCTAAAACCCATTTAGAGGAAAACAAGATTTAAAATTATTTCGCTACAGCGAAAAAATACCTTTCAATTGGATTCATCGTTTTCGTTCAGTAATTTCAACTTTTAGCAGATGTTAACGTCAGATGTGGAAAATGTATGAAAAATATTTATTTTTCTACCTACCGCACATAGTCGCACCAAGTTGCGGATTTGCAATCTTGTCCGCCCTAGGCTTTAGGCCATGTAGTCAGTACCAGCATCTGTTCAGTAGGTTTTGAGTTTCAGACAGACACACAGACGTAGTGATGTAATGATTACACATTACATTATAGATACGTAACGTAATATCTATATTTTACACATAAAATTTACGAAAGTGATTTAGAAAAATTATTGCTATACAATGCGGTGCAGTGGGCCCGCCATAACTTGCGTGAGCCTTTATAGTCGTCATCAAATAAGAGGCCAAATTTGACACTTGTCATCGTGACGCGAATAAGGATGTGAACTAATCATATCGGCCATCACATTATACGATTTTAACGAGAAATCGATTTATAGTTTTAAGAGTTTGTGATTGTTTACATTATTTTTCGGTTCATTGTTGTTCAAGGGGCTTAGAAGGTCAAATCATGAAATTCTGTTACAAATAATTCATTTACAGAATTCCTTGCAATTCTGTAGCAATTCCTCTCATTTTCGTAAAATTGTCCCACATCCCGATGAATTGTATCTAATTCCTTTAATTTTATAATATTCATAAATGGTTTATTACAAGAATTTAGCGAAAATAAGTATGTTCATCGATAAAACAACTACATAAAAAGATTGATTTATATAGAAACCAAGGATTTCATAAATTTTCAATTATTCGGCTGCCAATAAGTTAAAAGTTGTCAATGTCAACAACGGACAATCTCAAATAATGTTCATAATTTAGAAAACAGGAAGAGTCCAAAAATACAGCCAAGTCACAAGAAAAATACACCAAAAATAAGCATGCGCACAGTCAACTTCCAAGATGGCGAAATACTGCGCGGTAGAGGTGGGTGATAAATAACGTCACGATGAAAAAATCACGATGATCCGCCCCCAAACAGTATCACCGTGACCCGTTCCGAAGGAACGACGTTCCAAAATCACATAGGTGTTCCTCCGTTCCAATAGCTATCCCCGTCACTCACATCACGACTTACGTATTTGATACAATGCGCGATCTCCGTTCCGTGGTGACTGAGCGCGCCACTCGTTGTAGTTCTCTTCAAATCGGGCCATTTCGGCGATGGGAGTGAATGAAATAGGATGACTTTCTTTGCTCACTCACAAGGATCGTAGGTGCTTGTTACTACTAGAAAGGGCGGATGAAAAAAATTTGCAACAGTTATTATAAACCTGTTTATGAACAAAGTAAAATATTTTAGTATATTTGTTTTATTATAGGAAGAATTGATATTTTATATTTATGTATAATCTACTTTGTGTATTCTACTAGAAATATAATTACATTACACTTTATTGCTATTTTTAACAATCCAAAGATTCGCATTAAATAAGTAACAAACAAAATTACATTAAATACAAAATCAACTTTTTGAATGGAATTAAAACTTATTACAAAGGGAGTAAAAACTTAAATCATTATATAGAAAACGGCTATAAGTATTAGAAAGAAGCCGCTGGCTAAAACCATATATCGTGATGTAACTTATAGGCGTGACAAGGTCGCGAAAGTAACAGTCGTGACAAAATCACGATGATTTATCACTGTGATTTTTTTGGAACCGGAACGACAGTCACGGCGATAGAAAAATGTAACGCTATTCCCCATATCTACTGCGCGGTGTGCAGCGGGTGCCGCTGGATTTATATCAGTGTTGCCAATCAAAATTTGCAAAAAAAAAAGGAAATACAAATCTGGCTAGGAGTACGGGGCTCTTTTAAATTTGATTAATTATAAATTTATTTGCAATAAGTGTGGTCGGAGATGTTATATACATAATTATTTAAAATTATTACATTAATTATATACATAATTATTTAAAATACACCTATCTTTATACATTTTTGATTTTATATTTAATAAGTCCGACGTCGTCCGTAAAAATAACTGTCAATTAAATAATATTCGACCAAATTGAAAGACAACGTCAAATATGAAGCTTCACTCGCATCATGCGTCTTTTAATTTGGTCGAGTATTACTTATTTGACAGTTATTTATTCGGACGGATGTCTGACGGAGAATGAGAGTAGACCCCCAGTTTTCAGGACGTTTCGGAGTAACTCAAAATTGCATTTTGTATTGTAATTAGGGCGAAAACAATACTTCAAATATGTTGCGTCATATTATATAACGTTTCAATAAAATTTATATAATTTTTTAAACTCAATTATGCTAATAATTGTTCGTTTATTGTTTCGTTGATCGCATTCAAAGTTACATACTATTACCTTTCGCTGTCAAAGGCCACTTATTTGGTGACGAATATAGAATATTTAGATACTTTAGGTTATCAGTGAATATTTTGTCATGATTGCCCCTAAAATCTGTCTGCGCCCTAAGCCCGGGCCTACAGGGCCTTAGGGCAAATTTGCCACTCGTCACACCAATGTAAAAGTGTCTTTTTCAACCCTGAATCATCATGAAAATCGATGGAGCCACTATTAAGAAATTGGAATTGGAATTATTTTTTTGAAAAATATGATTTTTCGAAATGGAAATTTTTCCATAAATAATCCAACACTAGGTGTGGATGATTTTATTTTAAATTTAAATGTGTTAACGCACCCTCTAAATTTTTTGACGATTTTGCGCTGACACTTAACATTTCGTTTATAAACATTTCTTTTTGACTTGTAAAGTTTAGCTACCGGTTAGTTTCTCTAATAAATCCCAGATTTTCAAGATTATCCTTAAATATTTCACGCGTCCGATTTGTGTTTTTTTAAATTTATTTATAGTGCTAAATACACGGCGTAATATTTTTTTGTTTTAGGTGAAGTTGTGGTTATTTCAACATGGGGAAGGGAAATAATATGATACCTAATGGCCATTTCCACAAGGATTGGCAAAGATTTGTAAAGACGTGGTTTAACCAACCTGCAAGAAGATATCGTAGAAAGCAGAATAGAATCAAGAAAGCTAAGGCCATCGCGCCTAGGCCAGCAGCCGGACCTCTACGCCCTGTGGTCCGCTGCCCCACAGTTCGCTATCATACAAAAGTTCGCGCTGGCCGTGGCTTTACTCTTCGTGAAATTAGGGTAATTATAGTGTAACATGACCTCTTTGAGACGTAAAAAATACTTACCAGTGGTGTACATAAGATTTAGAAGTATGAATGAGATCAAGCATTTGTAAACAACAGGAGTGAATATAAATGTTTTGTTATTTACTTGTTGAAAGAAACGCTATAGCTTCAATGATTTTAAAGTATGAACACATGTAACACCCATTATTTTGACTAAAGGTTGCATTTAGAAATTCTACAGGCTAATTGAGTAATGCGAATGACAGTCTTTTGACAAACAGATTCTGTCCTTCAGATTCAGAACTCTTGATAGTGGTGTTCTCATTTAAACACTGTTTTTACAAATTATTTGTCAAATTAAGACAGCATACTACTATAAATAGTACATTTACCTCTCTCTCAGTTGTGACTAAAGTCACAACAAACAAAGATTTATTGAAATGAAAGGGTGCTGCAAGAACTGTAACAGGTGTTACATTTTTCTTTTTAATGACCCAACAGATATGTGGTTCAGAATGTTGTAATATTAAACTTCTGATGTTGTAAATACAATACAAATGTATTCCAGGCAGCAGGATTGAACCCTGCTTTTGCCAGAACTATTGGTGTCGCTGTGGACCCACGCAGGCGCAACAAGTCTGTAGAGTCTCTGCAAACAAATGTGCAAAGATTGAAGGAGTATCGTGCCAGACTCATTCTCTTCCCTAAGGGCAAGAAGGTAACATCTTACATATGTGTAATATAATCATACAATACATGCATTCATAAACTAGTAGCATCATGCTGCTTCATCAGGTTGTATTGTTAAATGTCATTCCTTAACCTGTTCATGGACAGTACTTAGTACCTCACTCAAAATAGTAAATAACTTAGGGCCATAGTGTTTACATTGATTCAATAATAATATGGTCAATGGTAATCATTGAAATTTTTCAGTATGTTAATAATGCGCTATGTAGAAGCAGTAGGCGGCAGCTACATGAAAGCCCACTCCAACCCATTAAAGCCATTGTTGATATTTTGAAATCCATATAGCAAAATGCTATACCATACTATCATAGTCTGGTATATCATAGTAAATGTCACTAAAGGTTAAGAAACATTTTATGAAATAAGCATTACTTAGTCCAGTGTTACATGCATGCCAAACGATTCCCATTAAAAATAAGAACTAAAGACTAAAAATGAAATAAAATTAATCAATATTATTCTTTTTATAGTGATTAAATTATGATAATACATAATTCTTCTATTATTGAGTTGTACTGTGCGGCAGCAGAAGTGTTTTTGAGTGTAAAGGTTATTAAATTGCTGCTCTTCAGATATTTACAATCTTGAGTCATAACTTTTTGTGCTATCAAAAAGTTAATAGTTGATGAACACTCAAGTAAAAACAGTTTACTTAAGACTATTAGATACGAATTCAGTATGTAGATTTCTTAAACTATCCTTGCCGCAATTGCAACATGTGCAATAGCAAATTTAATGATTCTGTTAGTATTTCTTCCTATAGATTACATTACATAAATATTACTGTCTTATTATTTTTCAGATACTGAAGGGTGAAGCCAATGAGGAAGAGCGCAAGCTGGCTACTCAGCTCCGTGGACCTCTGATGCCTGTGCAGCAAGCAGCACCCAAGTCTATTGCCCGCCCCATCACCGAGGAGGAAAAGAACTTCAAAGCTTACCAATACCTCCGTGGGGTATGTATTAGATATAAATACGGCGCGACTTGCGCGAGAGCGACATAAAGCGCGATATTACTATGTGAGAATAGCAGTATCTCGCTTTGAAAGAGTAAAGTCGCGCCCTTTCGTGCTAGCCCAATTAGTACACCATAATATCGACTCATCCGAAGAACAGAGTCCAAAGTGATTATACAGGCTGTATATTTGAAAGTGAGACATATTCATACATGTCATAGTAAATCATGTTACAACTTAACATAGACTAAAATAAAATTAGGATATGGGATAGAACAAAAAATAAATCAACAAATGTGTTTTGAAGTGTAGATAGGAATAAACCGATTCCCTTTACGCTTAATTTCGAGTGCAATGGGAGTGCTACCAAGCGAGTGCCGAGTGAGACAGCAACAATAACAATGATTTCACATTTACGCTTTAGGTTATGTTAATTGTTTTTTACTTGAACTATCATCGAAATGTTTTAGTAAGTAGTTATCATTTAATAAGAATTGAGGTTTTTGGCGTAGTTAAAAATGTGAAATCAAATTAATTACAATGATTGATTTTTTAGTTATTTACAGTTTATTTACACTTACGTGGTACGGAGCAAGTGTTCAAAATGTCCACCGTTTTCCACAATGCATAGTCTAGCACGGCATAGTAAATTTTGTTTTAAATTGTACAACACAAACACATTTTGTCTCACAGTATAAAATGCTGAGATAATCCTCTCACGCAACGCAACAGTGTCGAAACACTGTTCACCTCCTCCGCGTAAACTCCGATTTGGGAACATTTCAATAGCTTGCCTCACACTATCACCACTTATTGCGTAAAGTCGCACCATCTCAGTCAATTCCACGTTAGAATAAATACCCATTTTGCGGCGATCGGGCGAGCGGAAGGACAAATAATTTACGTGTCTTCGTTAGATCAAGGTCGCGCGTGGACTGAGCTATTTCGCGTATGCGCCCGCGTCCCGTCCTCACCCCCGACCTGTGCTTTGCTTTTCGCCGCTGCGTCGGAGCAATAATAGTGATGTGCATAGATTTCGATAACTAATGTTGTGCTCAAGTAGTAGTCGATAAAGAAAAATTAAAAAATATTTTTTGTAAAGTTTAAGTTCATTGCTTTATTATTTCTTTGGGTTGAGAATCAGGAATATAACGCACTCTATAAGTATGTCCCACTTTCAAATATACAGCCTGTATAGGAAAGAGAATTAACGAGAATAATTTCCTTATTCAAACTAAGTCCTATGTTAAGGTGTTTTTACCTATTGATTAGTAATTCTTCATACACCGCTGTCTTTTTCCTGTAAATTATATAATTACTTTCGTCCAAAGGTTGTCTGGCAGAAATCGCTTAAAGCGATAAGACCGCCCATTGTAACACCGCTTATTTTTAATATAATTGTATTGTAGGAAATGAAACTATTTTTTCAGATTTAAATCGCGTATATTTGTTTTTTGAAACAAACCAACGTTTCGGGCCCTTTACAAGTCCCATGGTCACAGTTGACTGAGGTCGTACAGTGTTCAACCAGTTATGTCTAATATTAATGCAAACCACCCTATTTTTTCTCTATAGTTACAATAGTTATTAATTAAATACCTTATTTTTAATTTTACAAAGAAAACATTCCAATTTACGCTACATTAAGTTTTACAAATTATTTTATTGAATGAATTTTTATTAACTTCAATTTATTGATAATTAATAATAGAAATTAGAATAAACTAAAACATATTAATTAGTACTGCAGTCTTATGTCTGTTTGGGATTTTTCATCAGAGGAAATACTGGATCCTAAACAAAAAAAATAATAAATAATTATTTTTAATTTCAATGGCCTCTCGCAGCATCCTGAGTAGATAATGGACTTCTTTTGCAAGGACCTGGGATTTGTCAAACTTCATTGAATATGTAGGTTTATCCATGACATGCTCGCTTGTTTACGCGGCCGTGTTTGACATCAGCTATATATTCTTTAACGCGGGTACAAATACTTCGCATCGTTTGTCCAATATAAGAGAGACCGCACTCACAGTCAAGCTTGTAAACTCCTGCATCCTCTAAGGGGATGTTACATTTCACGGGTCTCAGGAACTGAGAAATCTTCCCCAGGGGCTTGAAATAGGTCTTGATAGATGCACGCCTGAGGACTCCTCCGATCTCATCTGTAACACCTCTCACGTAAGGTTAAATGGCCGGTCTTCGCTCGACTGTGGAATCTTCAACTTATTCGCATGTAGGACTTGCTTTATATGCTGAAGTTCCCCTGCCAGATGATTACTGTCGCAGACACCATGTGCTCTCTGAAACAAAGATTGCCCACGGTAGCTAACTGACTAGGATGGTGATGGGAATTACTATTGAGATACCTATCTGTATGGGTTTTCTTTCGAAGTACAGTATGGCCTAATGTGTTATTAGGATTTCTTTTAATTAAAACATCTAAAAAAAGCTAAAGTAAACAAATATACGCGATTTAAATCCGGAAAAATAGTTTCATTTCCTATGTGTAACAATCGCGAAAACCTAGAACTTAATTGTATTGTATTTGTTTCCATTTTTGGTGTACAATAAAGAAGTTTTTTATTGTATTGTATTTTGAGCATTTATATATCTTATTTCATTTCGGAAATGAAATAAGACATATAAATGCGGTCGATCTGCGAAGAAGAACGAACGTAAACTAGGGGATGGATCCGGTTTATGCGCACTTTCCGGTAACCGATATGAATAAAACTTGGCAAATAGATGTAATTAAACGAAATTTTGAGGTCGGTAAATCGGATAAATACTGAGGTACCCTCTTTCCAACAAAAAAGAATCAGCGAATCTGCCCAAAAATCGAATAATCGCGTAACATACATACAAAAAAAATACGGTCGATTTGAGAACCACCTTTTTTGGTCACTCTCGTTGATTCATATAGCATTACTTAAACTTATTCTGCAATCATCGTGAGTGATAGGCTCAGATGGAAACAAGTTTCTTGATCTAGTAGCAGCAGAACTCCTTGTGAAAGAGTTCATCCAGGGTAGTACTGCCACCTTACCTATTTCTGCCGCCAAGCAGTAATGTCAGCATTACTGTGTTCCGGATTCGAAGGTTAATGGTGCTGGCTGGTGAAATTACAGGTACATGGGACTTGTCAACTTATATCTCAGGGTGACAGACCCAGTGGCAGTGATCTTTGCGATTTAAAGCACTGCAATTGTTATGAACAGGCGTGTAGCTTACCATTAGGCGCACGACTTGTTCGTCCCGTCACTTGATATTATAAAAGAAATCCATATAAATTAGCGAACTGCCAACCAATTACAAAAATGGGATACTTCAAGAATAAGGCTTTTTAAGAATAAGTCCTTTTAAGAATAAGTCTTAATATGAATACGTCTTAAATAGAATAGGGTATTTCCCGAATAAGGCATTTTCAGAATGAGGCCTACCACGATTTACATACTTTTACGACTATAGGTCATTTTACGAATAGGTCCTATGTCGACTAATCCCTACATATCTGGGAAGCTTATTTATTATCATTTTACATTTGTATCTCTCTGTGTAGTAAAAAGTAAACAATATAGTAGATTCTCATTTACATGATCAATTTTTTATGTTAAACTATATTTTTTTGTTTTCAGGCTCGTTCAATCGCTAAACTGGTCGGCATCCGTGCCAAGAGGCTGAAGGACGCCGCCGAGAACCCTGATGATGTCACGAAGGCGCCTACTGCCGTTAAAGAACCTAAGGCCAAGAAGTGAATAAAATAAAAAACAATTGAAATAGAGATACTTTTTATTGTAACCCCTTTTTAACCCTTAAGATCAGGCCACACAGAGGCGGCATAGCGAAAAAAGAATAGCGGCCCGAAGAAGGCGGCCAGTGTGACACCAAAAGCGGCCACGTTTCATTTTCAACACAGATTTTAAAGAATAAATCACATCGCTGTCGGATAATGATCAACAAAATTTTTTGCTTTTATTAGCGTTACGGAAGCAACATTCAAGAGTTCTAAAAAATACTAGCGTTTATTGCCCGTGGTCCAACTTTTTGCCCCTGGTCCGACTAGTTGACCTACGCAGTTGGACCACGGACAATAAACGCGCTAAAGCCCCGCTCCCGGACCGCGCTCGCTGCTACCGCTCGACGCTCTGTGTGGATGGTTGTATAGAACGGAATGGAATACAACACGCACGCCCGCACCTCGTCATTACAATTCTTGTCAGAACTCTTGTTCTGTGATGATCCCAATAAGATAATTAGTCGTTTAATCTACATTATAACTAAGGAACCACACTGTTTCACAGAACATTCCTTCCAAACAACGTGTAATAAAACCTTGGGTAACACCGGGAAAATTAAGATGCATAACAAATCGTAATAAACTACAAAAAATGTGAAGAAAGATCCATTTAATTAAATACTTAAGATAACATTTATCAGATATAGAAATTACTGTAATAAGCTTATAAAATCGGTTAAAAGAAAGTTTGAAGAGGAAACATTAGCTAAATCTATGAATAACAATAAATTATTATGGAAGAACATTAAAAACATGACTTAGACGAACAATAATAAAAAAGTAAACTCTGAATTAATTTACCTAAAATCTTCTCCTGTCTCAGCCAACTTTATTAACGAGTATTTTGCTAATATAGGTAAACAATTGGCTCCACATGCACTACCTACCACACATGATCTAAATACTTACCTAAATAGTCAATTTTCTCAACCGAACTCCTTTGTTTTACAACCTACTGACACATTGGAAGTTACTGATATTATTACAAGCCTCAAGTCAGACAGTGCGTCTGGGTGGGATAATATCCCGACCCTGTTTGTGAACCTAGCAAAAGAAGTTGTCCCCATAATCACACATGCTGCAAATCTTTTATTTTAGCGATGGCATATTTCCAACCTTACTCAAACAGTCAATCATAACTCCTGTGTATAAGGGTGGGAATAGAGGTGATGTCTGCAATTACAGACCCATCTCTGTACTACCAGTATTCTGTAAAATATTCGAAAAACTAATTAACAAAGACTCATTAATTATTTAGATAAGTTTAGCATTCTGTCAGACTCGCAATTTGGTTTTCGTCATGCAAAGTCTACTGAAAATGCAGTAATTGCACTTACTACATTAATTACTGAAAAACTTGACAATAAGAAAAAATGCATTTCGGCATCCCTAGACCTACAAAAAGCCTCTGATACTGTCTATCCCTATCCTAATTCACAAACTTGAAAGGATTGGAATAAGAGGGGTTCCATTACGCTTGTATTCAAGTTATCTTATATGTAGACAGGTCTCAAAAAGTCAAGCTAGTGAGTTGCACTAGTGACAGTGCTGAGGTGACATACGGTGTGCCCCAGGGTAGCGTCCTTGGTCCAACACTATTCCTCATATATATTAATGATCTATGTAATATGACGGTCAAGGATGCTAAAATATTTGCGTAAGCGGATGACACTGCCGTCGTTTTTGGTGGGGACTCATGGGATTCAATAAGGACCAGTGTTGAGCTGGGGCTCAAACAAACAAATGGTTGCGTAATAACATTCTGTCCTTGAATGCTGTAAAGACTAATTTTTTGTTTTGTTAATTATAAATATACCCAAACTTATGAGGATTTCTACATAAGAATCCACAACTGTGACAAAAACCTTACAGACTCTAATGAGCCTTGTACTTGCCCGCGCATACAAAGGGTTGATCAAACAAAATACCTAGGTATCATCTTGGATCAGCGTCTCTTGTGGTACCCGCACCTCGAACATATAACAATGAGAATCAGGAAACTAACCTGGATTTTCAAATTACTGAGGTATGTCTTGCCGAATGGGGGCACTGATCTAGCTGCTACCAAAGACACTACTAGAGATCTCCTTAAAGAGATTTATGTTTCCCTTGTACAATCTATTATTGCATATTGCATTCCTGTCTGGAGTGGTGCAGCAAAATAAAAATTTATTCAAATAGAACGAGCACAACGTGGTTTGATCAAAACAATGTATTTAAAAAAAAGAATTTATTCCACTGAAAGTTTGTATCAGCTGACAAAACTAACATCAGTTAGGAAACTTTATGTACTATATATACACTGTAATAAAACAACATAAAAAATTGCCATATGAACCTGGGGTATTAGGTAGAAGAAGAAACTATAACATAGCGCTGGTACCAAAAATCAAAACTACTGCTGCTAGTAAGACAGTACAAATACAGGGCTTCATATCTATATAATAGTTTAAACAGAGAACTGGATCTGTACAAGAAAATGTTTCGTGAATGCAAGTTAGCAATTACAAAATGGCTCGAAACTAAGTCATATGAGATTGAGCAATTATTATTACAAGTTTGAAATATATGTATAAATATATTAACAAGTACACATAAAATTTATACTATATCAGTATATACATAATTTATATAATGTGAATAAATAATATAAATATACACAAATCGAAATTTAAATTACATATTATGTTTATGTAAACTTATAATACTACTGTTATTTTAGTAACTTCTTGCATATGAGACAAGCAATTGAAATGATACTATTTAACATGGTATGACAATGTATAATTTTGGATATTGTACGTCTATCGGATGGATGACACATATGTACACATTCACACATTCCACACAATTACACACCTACAGATACATATACACATACATGCACTCACTCACACACACACACACACACTAACAATTAGGTTAATCTATTTTTTAGTCTGAAAAGTTAAACAATTACTGTAATTAGTGAAATTTGTATTAGTTGTAACACCAGTTGTAGTAGATTGGTTTTAGTAATAATAATAATAACGCACACACTCAACATAGCCCCGCACTAGGGAAACCCTGTGTCGCGGGTGCCATGGACACACACATAGACAACCACAAATTACACCCAAACTCACGAGAGAAATAAATGTAGGCCATACAAATATTTCTCCCGGCCCGGGAATCGAACCCGGGGACCTCTGCGTGGCAGTCCGGTATGGTAACCGTTCGGCCACGGAGGCAGTTATTATTAGTAAAGAAGGTATTATGTTTCATCATCTTAAAATTATATAAGAGCAAGATTACGATTAACATTATAGAAGAGCGATGTTTCCTTTTTTTTTTGTTAATCCGGGGGAATCTGCTTACAGATACCCCGGCCCCGCGGGGGCAGAGCCGGGGTTATGTGGGACTGGGCTGAACCCTGAAGGGGAGCAGCCCGACCGCACGAAACCCCCGGAGTGTTCCTCCTCTCCGCTGTAGGTGGGGGTACGGGTACGCTGTTGCACTCGTCCGCGTCCCCACCAGCGGCTGGCCGCGCCCTGCGCAGCCCCTTCCCGAGAAGGGAGATACATCGGTCCCCCGACTCCGTATGTGAGGTACGCCGAACACCAGACGAGCCTTCCATACCGGGCCGCTTTATGCTGGGCAAGGAACTCCCCCGAGTCCGCCACCCAGGGGCCATGGGGGGCCAGGACAGCATCCACTCAACTGTGAAGTTCAGTGGCTGCTCCGCGCGGAACGCCCTCCTCCTCGGGCCAACCTACCACATCGGGCCCCGTGGGTTCCTCTTAGCTTCACCGTAGGATGAAATCGACCACGGCTACTAGAGCCCCCCGCCACGACAAGGCGGGAACCCCTTCGGGGGGAGAGCGATGTTTCCTAACACAGGCCCTAACAAGCCTAAATGGAAACATCCGCCCCTGTGAACCATGCCCTTTAAATTAAATGAACTTATAAAACATTTCATTTTTTTTTATTTAGTATTAATTCCCGCGCCCGGAACTTTGTTGTTCTTCGTATGGCCACAGAATTAACCGGTCATAACGATAGCGGCCAGCTATAAGTTACGATAATGAACCATATCGACTAACATCCATATCAGTGCCGGCGAACGAAGAAACACACGACACTTATCTCTGTGAATACGGTATTCACAATATGTAACGGTGTGTGGAGATTTTATTTTCTTCAAAACACTTGCTGCAATTTTTAATTGTATACGATTCGCCTATAATATAGATTGACAACTATTTTCTTTGTTTTTTATTCTTTATAACATCATTGTGTCTAAAATTTACGGTGACACTTGGAAGTTCCCTCTGTTCGTGAAATCGAACCCGGCGCTGTAAACTACAAGCGTACCGACCTCTTTCCCGAAATACTCGTCGACAATCCTGTGGTGTACCTTTTGATTGTGTATCGTATACTTGTCACACTTTAACCGCTGCAGTCATTGACTTACAAATAAATTGTAAGTCAATGGCTGCAGTAGGTCAATGGCTGCACCCTACGTATGCAGTTTGGCAGGAGATTGACAGCGCCGCCGTTTCTGTAGACTATTTAAATTTTGCTTCTATATCTTTGATGAATCGTAATCTATTTTTTCTCGGTGTTTCTCTTTAGTTTCGGTTTCGTATAAAACTTTACCCTTTTTATCATTTTGTACTCAAACCCGTTAATGGATCTCATGCATGTAACTAAGGTAGTGGAACGACTCATGGATGGTTTAAGGATTTATCTTTTGTTTTAGTCTTTTAATTTCGGATGAGTTAAGGCCGGCGCAGAGTGACGTCGCGGCATGACACGGCACGACAAAGGATTTTATTTTTGATCAAGTTATTTTTATCCTTATTTCATCGAGGTTAAAATTCATATTATTTTATTTCGATACAATTATACCGCGGCACGTCGTGGCATGCCGCAGGACGCCGCGGTATGCCGCGGCACATCGTGGCATGCCGTTTCATTCCACAGACGTCCCGCAAGTAACGTCGGTCACAGAATTATGACAATTAAACTAATTGAAATAAGGTTTGAAACTAGTGCGGCGGCGATTTCGGCGAATGGCGCGCAGCGAATGTGCCGCGGCATGCCGCAACGCACTTCGGCATGCCGCGACTCGCTTCGACATGCCGCGGCATGCCGTGCCGTGCCGCGACGTCAGTCTGCGCCGGCCTTTATCCTGTGGAACTCGAGGAAAGATTTAATTGATTAAAAAGTCTTCAAATAACGTTTGAAAGTGCTTTACTTATATCTATTAACAAAGAAAACATTGTTATTTGAGAAAAAGTAGACCCTGTTTGAGTATCCTTATATGGACAGCCCAATTTCCAATTACACCCATGACTGAATGAATGACATGAATGACACCCACCTCGTCATAGACGGTTTTCAATCATGGACGGTTTCCAATCATTGACACCTAAACATGAACGATCAACTATTTAGCCAAATTAACAAATTCAATCTTAAAAAACGAGATTTTTTTTTTGATGGTTCGTACTTAAACTTATTTTGAAATGAATGGTGTTGTGACATTTCTTATGACTCATTTGTGATTGGTTACAATGGGTGGTTATTCGCTTCAGTGCCATGTCTAAAAAAATCAAATCCAGTAATGGACGACCTGACGGACACCGTTTCCATTACAGTGTAGATTTAAAATAATGTAACAAACTATAAACTAAAAGTCTGGCTTTATAAAGATGGTAAACACAAGTAAAGCTCTTTATTGATAAAATCCGATTATGGACAAAAATGTCCATGACTGGGTAAATAGCTAAACGAGATCCAGTATGTAATAAACGTGTTTATAACTTTATTATATCCTATACAAACTGTTGTTGTTTTTAACTGCAGCTTCTTCTTTTTCTCATTTGTTTGGCGTTAGGTATCTTTTTTCTTTTCTCGACTAATGACTAATGTATTCATCGACATTGAAACGTAAACGCTGTCGGTGCTTAAACTATAACCGAATATTTTGGACAGGCTGAAATATTAGGTACTTCAGTATTGTTTGACATCTGAAAAAAGCGTCCACGACGATGGTCTACTGTATCTTTCTAATTTGTGGTGTATTCTGCCGATCGTAAAAGTTCGTGTAGACACCGTGATGTGTCAACCCGTGTGAATATATAGGAAATGCATTGAACGACTTATGATTATTTTCCGAATTCTCTGTTGAATTTTAGTTGTTACAAATAGTAGAACAAAGTTCCAAAAATTTTGCTTTACTTTTTACTGGGTAATCTTGTGGTGCTGTATCAATCACCGATTTTGTTATCGCTGTACGTATTTTTGTTGAATGCGGTGGAACACAAATCGTGCACCTGCGCTTTTGTTAAATTTTCGGAAAACTTGAAAGACATGTATGGCTTCAGGCGTTTGAAAGCGTGCGTGTATATTCGTCTCCAAAATTGGTACTCCTTAGCGCTAGATGAACGACCTCAACGCTCTGTCACACATACAACACGTTGTTCAACAACTTATATTTTTCAATAATATGCAATGGATGTTGTAGCTTATGTTTTCGTGCCCTTCAATAAGTAGGTAAATTGTAATGGATAAATTTTGGAAATAGGCGATGAACGAATAACCATGGTCACGCAGGAAAAAGGCACGACGCTCGCGATACGAGCCAAAAAATAGATCGCACCACTCGCATTGCCGCCCGTACCGAAATGCAAGTCTTTTTCGTTCTTCGTTACATGGACGTAAAGGTTTTTCTGACAAAGCATCACGCGATTCCGTGGAGAGTGGTGACTCCCTTTTAAACACGCGTGTGTGTGAACATCTAAATACGATAGTTCCTAGGTTGGTAATGTAAGCCGTGCATTGCTAGGATCACTAAATGATGATCACTTTTTACCGGACGAGTCTAATTGGTAGGTCTTTTTATTATTAGTAAGGGTCAATTTACATTTTTGTAAATAATATCTTTATGCAATAAGATTACAGAGGAACGAAAGCTAAATTCTCGCCTCGTCACTCGAGGTTCCAGCATTCTCATCGATTCTCGTGACTGCGCCTTGACCGGACCGGCGAATTTGCCGGGTCGGTAAAACTGCTGAAAAAGGCTAGTGGCTCTACAATTTACATGAAGCTATTCGCATTACGCCGGACCCGGCAAGAATGCCGAATTCGGCATTGTTGCCGGAGCGTTTGTCACTGGATCGTAGGCAGAACGCCCGGACCGGAGTAATGTGAATGACAACGAGTCGTTGCGATAAATCATCATGTTTTTATTTTTCGCATATCTGGGAAGCAGAATAATTGGGTTCATGATTTGTCGAAAACCATAGATTTAGTAGATAGGTCGAAAATTGACATTAAACATTTCGCAGTTTTGTGCTCTAACCAGTGACTTACAAATAAATGGACGACGGGTCTAATACAAAAACCACGAAAAAAATGTCCCAAGTCAACCTATTCGAAATTTAAATTGTACTGTCATCGCAGTATCGCGCTGTCAGTAGAACAAATGAAGACTAAAGCGGAGTTTGGCGCTCTGTATACGATTTTAGCGCCTTACAAGTGCGGACACTTTTTAGCGCGGACCCGACGTCCATATAATTATAAGTCAATGGCTCTAACCACCTATTTTATATGCCCTTTCCCCGTACATTATTCTTAGAATTTTTCTGTCTGGCTTTACATTGTACAAACTATCATGCGCCATATGGCTAGTTAGTGCACACACATAACAATATAATTCAAATACTCTTTACCACGCGAGTCTTGTTCTAGCGTGGCAAGTGTAAAAAAATTGTGCGCAAACTAAAATAGTGTAAAAGCGTCTGTGAATTAAATGCTGCTGATGGTAACTAAAGGAAAACGGGTCGGATAACCGATGACTCCTACAACTAGTACATGTAACACTGTTTAGACGGCTATGATGCTGCACTGAAAAAAGCATTTTCCGCATACAGGAGTTCTCGTTGAATTAAACACCGTTTCGCCGGAACATTTATTTCATATCATAATTACCATATTATGTATTACATAACACTATGTTTACTAAATTAAGTTTATAACTAGTCCTATTAGTCAATACGTGTTACTGCTTCTAATTCCATTACAACGTAAATATACATAATTGTAAAACTATAATAATGTTGACTTTACTATGTCACTAATACATACCAATTAATTAATATCTAAGCAGGTGTATTAATTTCAACATTGGTTTTTTCGTTAGTGTTCTCAGCTACATTGGTTTCGCTTTCTTCGCCGTCACCAGTCTTGGGTTTCTTATCACTTTTGCGGAACTTGTCGTATCTGTATTAACCAAAATAAATTATATAAATATAGTTATAAAAACCAACTAATTTCGTTTTAAAAAACGTAATAAACACCTATGATGCAATGACATTTGGGTATGTCTAAATTTACTTCACGTTTATAAAAATATATATATTATAGTTGGATATGATAATATTTACCTGCCCAAATCCTCTTCATCATCACTTCCCTCATTGGCCTGAGCATCCACCTCACTCAGCAATTCGCCCAGATCCTTGTCAACATCTGCCCACATCTTATCTTCACTCCCTATAAGGAATTGTTAGGGAAACAAGGTAAATATACAGTTCAATAAACACCTTTCCACACATTAACATTCAGTCTTTATATGTAATTTATTTTTATTTAAAGTGAATTATGTTCTTTGGTAAGTGACGGCTTTAATAAGTTTTCATTGATAACCCATAAATAATAAAAACTTTTGGGACATTGAGCTTGTGCGGAATAGTGGAAACTACTTGTCTCACCTGACACATTGGCAGCATCAGTGCCATTTTCCAATTTCTTTGTGTCCTCAGTTGGGTCTGGCTTCTCAGTTTTGATTTTATCTCCTTCCTCAGGAGTTTCCTTCTCGTCCTCTGTAAATAATGAGATATTGTCAATAATAATGATGATAAAAATACTATTGTATAATTTAATTATTTTATTTATTGATAACTCTTGTTTAACAATAGAGATGAGTGAACAGTTGTTTTTGTTAACTAACTTAATATGTATCTAAGGAATCAGATTTTTCTACCTGTAACCGAATATATTATTAAAATGTATTGGAACAGTCATGTAAAAATAGCTGTATGTACATTGACTTACAAATAAATAGACGACGGGTCTAATACAAAAACCACGAAAAAAATGGCCCAAGTCAACCTATTTAAACGTAGTGACATGTAAAGGAATATGAAAAAGTTAAAACGTTGAATTTAAATTGTAATGTCATCGCAGTACTGTCTAATTTTGCTTGCTTCGCTGTCAGTCGAACAAACGAAGATTAAAGCGTGAATGACGCTCTGTATACGATTTTAAAGCCCTATAAGTTCGGACACTTTTTAGCGCGGATCCGACGTCCATATAATTGTAAGTCAATGTGTATGTACAAAATAATTACCTTTCTGCTGATGCAGCTGGCGATGGATGCGCTCAGCCTGCTTACGTAGCGTGCGCGTATCGCGATGTTGCACGTAACGACTTAAATGAATGCGCAAACGGCAGTGACGCCGTAAGACTTCCGCTTCTTCAGCGCCACCAGCCTCCGCGCGCGGCAAGTAGACGCGGCAAAGTTCGCACCACAATACCTGTAAAAACGTTAAGTATTTAATATCTAATCACTAGGTAAAATATAAAATGTACAATCAAGTGCTCGTCAAGCTTGACACTAAACATTGTAAATGAACTCTATGCCACATACACTGAATACAACCAATATACAAATTGTCTAGCTTGGCATGCTCTTGACTGTACATACAAGATATAATGGTTCTCAACAAACATACCTCCAGTTTCTTAATGTGTTCATTACCAATGTTTATCTCCACTTTAGGTTTCTTTGGTGCAGCTTCATCTTTCTTTTCACCACCAGAGTCATCATCTTCCACTTCTGAAAGGAAAGTTTATTGTCACGAATAATATTGAATAGCAATAAGAATTTCAATTGTGTTTAAGTATTACATACACATTCATAAGGAAAAATACTTACCGTCTACATCTCCTACAGAATCAAGAGTCATAAAGTTGTCCAAATCGACATCCATTCCTTCGTCTCCACTGCCCTCAGCTTTTGGACTGACGCGTCGAGCTGACTGGCTCGCTTTCCGCTGAAAAGTAATGCCATAAAAATATGAAGGCGCCCTAAATTTCATTGCTATTTTACTGAAAAGTGGGACCAAATACAGAAATACCTTAAGATGCTCTAAAGAGCAGATATGGTGTTCATAAATCATGGGCGAGCGGAAAGTGATGCGGCAAATGCGGCAGAAGGGCATGAGAAAACGACGCATGGCGCGGTGTGTGTCGGTGAGGTTGTGTGCCTGGCGCGTGGTGCGATGGTTGAGGCGGCAGATCAGACAGAAGGTGGTGCGCGCTGCCAGCTCAGCGCCTGCACCCGCCTCCAGTTCGCGTTGCGCGCCGCGCTGCGCCACGCGCATGCGCAGCAGCTGCGCCTTGTGCCGCCGCGCCACGCCGCTCATCGCCATACGATGCTTTGTGGACATCAGGTGCTTCGCGTAGCCCTATAGTTCGAATTCTCATATAACATCAATAACATTTTCTAGCGCTTTAAGTATGTAAGGCAATAATTCAATCCTAACAGCAAAAGTCCGGCATTTTTCCTTGCAGTGCACGCAAGCAAGGTGCACGTAAGGGCGCGCGCGAGGCGCCGGTGCATCAGAGGCAGCATCCCCCTCCTTGTCAGTGTCTTCGCCGCCAGCACCCGCGTCTTCGTCTGGCTCCGAACCTTCAGGTTCAGGCTGCAAAATTGTATTACATCAACAAAAGAAACTAATTTTGAATCCATAACTTTTATGTTAAATTAAGCTAAGCTAACCTTGGGCGACTTGACCTTGGACTCCTTTTTTTCTTCAGCAACTTCCTCCTTCTCATCTGCATCCCAATCTTCTTCAGTAGAAGATGCCTCATCCTCTTTAGATTTCACGGGGCTGTTTTAAGAAAAACAACATATAATTTTCCAGTCATTCAATTGAAATTATATTAAATATATTGCATACTGTCCCCGGAACGGAAGAAAGGCACAAATAACATTTAAAAAAATTAGTTATCTACCAAATTTTTTGTAGGAAAATTTATCCCAATAATTGTTAGATATGCAGTAAGCATAAAAGGCACAACTGACACCAATATTCAGATTTTATACTATAAAGGTTAAAACACTAATATCAAAGAATTTTACTTAGTAATGTACAGAACTGTGACTTTATGAAATTCAATGACAATAATTACTTCATAAATAGCACATTTATTTGTAACTTTTTTATAAAAAAATAAACTAAACTCAAAAGTTCGTGGAATTACATCTGTTTGCAGAGTTATTGATATCGGTTCCCGGAAAGTGCGCGAAACATTTAGAGGTAGATATTTTCTTGAAATTTTAATGGGATCACTACTGAGGTACCCCTCTTTGCAATAAAAAAGGAATCCGAAATTGGTTCACAAATGCCAGTGTAATCGCGTAATATATATACAAAAAATAACAGTTGACTTGAGAACCTCCTCCTTTTTTTTTAAATCGTTTAAAAAGGCATAATTAACTACGATTGTGCCCTTTAGTTCTCTAAGTCAAGCATTAAAAATCATATTTAAGTTGTATGTTGTGTATGCTTTATACATTGTTTTTTCTACTAAAAGAAAAAATATTCATATTAATTAAAATACAATGAAAGTTTCTATATAAAATGTCTTATTTATATTTGCGATAAACTACTTAATATTAAATATATATTGGAAATGAAACCATTTTTTTCCGACCTAACTCGCGCATATATGTTTTTCCAAACAAACGAACATTTACGGCTCCTTACAGGCCTTACGGCTGTTTGAAAAAATAAACATTCCCGGTGTAGAACTAAAAAAAAAAGTTTCATTTCCAATGTGTAGCAATCTGGAAAGCCTATGTTATGAAAAATATATTTAATTATACTAGAAAATTTTTTAACTCTAAATTTTGAAATTGCTACCTTTTTTCCTCCGAGGACAAAATAATAAAATTAAGCATTAAACCTGAATTTTATTACTTCACTCTCTCTTTACCTGTCAAGTACATTTTTTTTAATGAATTTCTGGTAATTTATTTTCTGGAGCAATCAAGCATCTTGCAGTTTATGCTGTTGTAGATTAAAATCGCATATTCTTAAATAAATGCTCTCTCTCATACTTAGGGTTTCAGTTTCCATTCCAGCTTATGGTGAGTGTCACATTTTACGGACTGCATATTTAAAGCCTTATTCAATTAAATCTTGGCCCTTTCATAGTGCCATGCTCACTCAACACAACTTTTTAATAACTAAATGAAACATTACTCATTGCATGAATTACCTTCGCCCCTTGATAGATCTGAACGCACGGGTGTAACCGAGCGATCTATCGCCGAATCGCCTAGAGGAAAATGAACCGCGAGAGCGCGGCGCGCCACGATATGTGGCGCGTGAGCGTAACGTGCGGCCTCGGAACGAGCGCCGAGGCGCTCGCGAACGCACACTCGTTCGAGGCGGCTCTCGAGGCGGGCCCATGCCGCTGGGCTTGCGGTAGGTTTCTCTGTTCGGAGACCGTCTTCTGTCGTCGCCGCCGAAAGATCTCCTCTCGCTGCTGTAACTATCTTGTCTACCGCCATACGAGCTTCCATAGTGGCCGCCGCCGTCATGGCTACGTCTATCGCTCGAGGACCCCTGTACATAACTCTGTTGGGTTCTTCTATCATGCTTACAAATGGACAAAATGGTTAAATACAAGTTAAACTAACACTTCCCTCTTTTGGTCATCAATTACATTGCATCTGATACTCAGATCTGTCAGGAGAGTTCAAACAGCCAGAAGATTTCCAATTGTATGCTTATGGTAGGTATCACAATTTGACAAACAATAGTTTTGGGCTGCTCTGAGCTTTCACTCTCAATGGATTTTAAATTTCCTGTATAAAATGATCCCTCTCAAAGTCTGACAGTATCTGGTGCATAAGTGTAGGTATGTGTTAATGAAGGGTTAACCATGTAATGGTATATTCTCTACACTTTACAAGAAGTCTTTGGAGGCAGAGATAGTACTCTCAAACATGAACATCAAATGCCTTATCAATAACCTGGGTTATAAACCACACATATAGTGTTATCATATACAGGATATATCAAGTAGATTTTCCTCACTTTATTAGTTCACACAGTGGAACAGATTTCTAACTGGAACCACTAAGTCACATTTCTTTCTGTGCTTGCGTTTGACCTCATTGAGATTCTTAGCATTTGCCAAAAACAATCACACAGTCAAGTCCAAACTGATTGTGGGCTGTTAGATATGCAGATTAAATAGAGACAGTATACACCATTGTTCATCTTGCATGTAGGTATCTCAGTTGTTCCAACTTGTCATGTAATCAAACATTTATTCATACTAAAATCATCTATTGTGGGCACTGATTATTCATAAATACTACAATAATATTATTCTTTATGTTACATATATATATATCCTCATTGAGACAGGGTTATCCATAGTTCTTTTTTGTAATAAATCCTTAATTGGCAGAATTCCCACCTTTCTCCCAAATCTTTCTTTGGAACACTTATGTTCTTTTCTAGGTCATAGACTGGCACCTGTACCTTCTAAACAATTAAAGCGTGTGTGTAATACTAACCTCCATTCTCATTCTCTTACGTTCAGGCGAGCCTGATCTTCCTCCATATTCTCGAGCAGAATAGCTTGTCGAGTTGTCCTGAGAACGTTTTTAAATTGAGACTGTTGTTGCTGCATGATGTATGAAAATAGAAAATTTGTAAAAATCACTTACAGATCTATATGATTTCTTGTATGAATCGTCAATTCTGTCACGACTTGACGAGTAACGGTTGCTGCTGCTGTTGTTGTAGCGAGACTCATTATTGTATGAGGAGTAGCCGCCTCCACCACGGCCGCCGCCACGACCTTCATATGAGCCCCGGGGGTTGCTGCCGCGGTACGAGCCTCTGTAGCCACCGCCACGTCCACTGTACCCGCCTCCTCGTCCGCCATAGCCCCTGCCCCTTGACGACATCTAAAACGACAAGTACAACCTGGTTTCGCTCACTAAGCCGAATGTACAAAGAGTATATCAAAAATATTCCACTCCAAAGGTTTATTTCAATACGTATAAAAAAAACTTAATCCTATCGCGCAATTTATTTATAAATACTGACGAGACAGTCTCAATGAGGTAGCCCGCCGCCGGTCAAAAGTGCCATGCCATGTGTATAAAATGGCGGCCATAATTTAGAATCAATTGAAATGCGGACAAGTGACGATATTATCTAGTTTGAACAATGTATTTATTAAAGCTTATAGATAGGTATTATAGTACTTACATTCATATGTAGATACACAATTTTCACAAATTGTTTGTTAGCTACACAACTTTTCCGTGAAAACGCCACACACAGCACACAGTTTGGCTAACTGTCAGTGTTGCCACTGTTGCCAGCATAAACTATTTTTTTAAATTCATTGCATGACGTAAAACATTTGAACATACCAACAACAAAAAAAGGCAAAGGCTTATAATAAATTCAAAATTGTTCTATTTAACAAATAAGATGTTAAGAATTAAATTTTTCTACTTTTTCTATTAACTCATACAGTGGAATAAAAGTAAAAAATGTGGAAGGAAAATGTGTAACTAATATGGACACCCTGAACAGGCTTCTCCTTAGTTCTGGTGGCCTACCACAACCTCTTAAAACAATGTTACTTTAACCTTACATTGACTTTTCGTACCATGACGCGCTGAAAGTAAGCTTACTAAAATGTTAAAATTATGATGTTTTATTAGCAGCTTTGTGACTATTCATTCACTCACCTTTTTTTTTTTATGACGGGGGGAAATCTTTATGGATACCCCTGAGCCCAGGGGGACTCTCCCTCCTTCATTCACTCACCTCCTAAAACAATATTACTTTAACCCTCAGAGGATGGAAAAAAAATAAAGGAAAGGAGCTGCCCTATCTACGGAATAAACGTACCTACCTAAACCAAAAATGACCATCACAAATGGCGGATTTAGGTTCGTATTCTAGAACTCTACTCAATGCTCAAGTCAGGATTTGAGTATGGTTTAAAGCACTCGAAATCATACTCAAGTCCCTGCCATTAGGGTAGTATTTCCAGTGCTTGTGTTTCCAGTTAGCATTTGTCATCAAGTCAGGACTTGAGTATGATGTAAAGCATTGAAAATCATTCCCAAGTCCTTGCCATTAGAGTCGTATTTCCAGTTCTTGAAATCATACTCAAGTCTGCTCAAGTCAGGATCTGAGTATGATTCAATAGAATATATAATAAGAGCAAGCACTAGAAATACAATAGAAATAGAATAGAATACGACCCTAAGAGTCGTATTCCAGAACTCTACTCAATACTCAAGTCAGGACTTGAGTATTGCAGTGAGCACTGAAAATCATACACAAGTCCTTGCAATTAGGAAACACAAGCACTGGAAATACGACCCTAATGGCAGGGACTTGAGTATGATTTCGAGTGCTTTAAACTTTAGCATTGAGTAGAGTTCTAGAATACGACCCTTAGGGTCGTATTCTAGAACTCTACTCAATGCTCAAGTCAGGATTGCAATGGAAACACAAGCACTGGAAATACGAGCCTAATGGAAGGGACTTGAGTTTGATTTCGAGTGCTTTAAACCATACTCAAATCCTGACTTGAGCATTGAGTAGAGTTCTAGAATACGACCCCTAGTGTTGTATCATAATCATAGATAAGTCAATATCGACATGCAAATGTATGGCTTGAATATTGAAACTGTTTTTTATGTTTGCAAATGTTTATAGTTTACTGTACTCAAAGTATGATTAATACTAGGCTATTATTAATAGGCAACTAATGAGCCATTATAATCAAAATTAAATATAAAGTTATTTACCAATAAAAGTAACGATGGAATTGTATTAGCATGTAATCTAGTTACATTCAAAGTTCTATTAAAATTTGACTTCAAATGGAGCGAGCGAACGAAGATGGTATTTGATCTAATGTTTATGTTCGACAATCCTATAATTTCCAACCATTCTTTCTTTCTTTTTTCATTTGTAGGTAAACTTTTAAAATAATAATAATGAAATAATAAAAACCTCGCAGTGAATTGTTTTAATAACTGAATATCGATAATATGTCTACTTACTAGAACAATACTATTTCAAAATAATTGTTATCAACGATCATCACAATATATTAAGAAACAGGCAATCTAAAGTAACCAAAGCAAAATTCGGCAAGACTTATGAATAAAGTAATTGAGTCTAATTACATCAGATATTTGGGTTATTGTATGATTTATAAGCAGAAAAATAACACATGTAATGTAAAATTCGTTTGATTTCCGATTTTCTACTGCCGCACTCCTTAATGCTGCAGCGACATATTTTTATCAACACTTAATTGTTCTCACTGTCAATATTTTTGTCCATCATCATCAGCCTATCGCAGCCTACTGCTGGACATAGGCCTTTTTGTCCATTTCATTATAATTCATGCGTATAATTCGCTAAAACATTTGTCCAAATTTTGGTCTTGACTACTTCCCTTTGACAACCGGAAACGATTAACATTATCATAGCACGTATTTTCAATTCTCGTGTTTGACATAAATCAATGCTATTTCTTTTGACTTACGACGGCACGCAGTAGTTAAACAAGGACAATAAAATGTTTATGTTTTCAACGTCTAAATGCATCATATACGTATAACGTCTGATTTATATGTCAACATAACATGTCTTTGGTCTCCATAGTCTAAGCCAGGGGTTCGCAAACTTATTTTGTCTACTGCCCACTTTGAGAATAAATTATTTTTTAGTGTCCCCATTTTTTCACCTACTTAAAAACCACTATAACTTCAAATTAAATTAACTATTGTGAGCTATATTAGCGGAGATAAAAACTTTCATTCTAAACGAGACTTTTACTATAATCCGCAAGAGTTAACTTGAGACCTGAGCGCAGTAGGTAGTATAGGTAGTACACAACGTGTCTTTGTTTCACAAATTTACATAACTCTAAAATATACATACTTGCTACAGTTAATATTCCCAGCTCACGAAAAAGAGTCCTGTAGCCATTGACCTACCACAGTCAATGCCTGCAGCTAAACAAAGGACTAACACCACAGACAGCTCGTATACATTTTTTGTGCTAGACGAACTTTATCAATTGTTGCACTGTTGTTACCTCAAACTATCATTCCATAGCGAATAATTGATTCTGTACAACCATGATAAGCAGACACGAAGACATATCTCAGGAAGTGGCTTCCTGAGATATCGTTTTAGACAGCCTACCTAAGAAATATATAATTTTATTGATTCTGTTACATAGACTATCAATATGACTATTATAGTTAAGATTTTTGTCCAACCATAGTCCTAAAAATTTTGTTATAAGCTGTATAAATCGCTTCGTTCTTATAATGTACATTTAAAAGATTAAGTTGTGAATTGTGATGTTCCCTTTAAAGCAAATTGAATGTAATTTGTTTTTGCCATATTTGCATGCAAATTATTTTTAACCGATTTCAGAAAAGGAGGAGGTTCTCAATTCGACTGTATGTTCTTTTTTTTGTATGTATGTTACGCGATAACTCCGGTATTTGTGAACAGATTTTCATGATTCTTTTTTTGTTGGAAAGGAGGTACTTCCATAGTGGTCCCATTTCATTTTGAAGAAAATCATCCACCTCGAAGGTTGGATGTTCACGCATGAAGATTCTATTTTATAAATAGCGCCTAACTTTAATTTAGGAGCATTTACTTTAATGGTTGATTTTGCTATTTCTCCAATTCAAGGCGTTTTTCTCTCGATATACTTTGAGTAGTGAGAACCGATTTTTATTATCTCCAGTGTCAAGTCCTGTATAGTGACGAACTATATTACAATAAAACTTAGCAAATTGACTCACTTGCACGTACTTTTGAGGTCGGTTTTTTAAGTATTCTGTACTGAGATTATTATTAAACCATTTCATCAAAGACAGCAACATTGACGTCATTTTCATATTCATTTATATACTTTTTATTAAATGTCACTACAATAGATATGTCGACTGCAAATAACACACATTTATGATTTGTCACTTTAGGTACATCAATAATGATAAATAAATAATAAGGGGCCCAAGACACTGCCCTGTGGAATACCAAATTTATTATATTAATGTATGAGTATTCCGAGTTATAATTTGATTGAGTATTATGATCACCTATTGCATTCACTCATGATTCACTTAGACACTCTGCATTCTATTTTTAAAATAATAAAGAATCCAAACGTTTCAGATGTATTATTATTATTTAAAAAAAAGAATATCTTGAAACACAAAACTAAATGCTCTAGACGTGTAAAAAAATAGAGCTGTTACAAGCTTTTCTTGATCTAAACTTCGTATGATAACGTTAATCAGCTTGAAACCAGCATGTGATGTTGAGTTGCCCTTTTGGAAGCCATACTGTTCATATGTAATTATCTTAAATTTCACAAAATATTCGTATAATTGAGCATCATACAGTTTTCAAAGACTTTTCATAAGACTGGTGTTAAGGTAATAGATCGATAGTTACTTATATTCGATCTCCACTTTAGTAAACAGGTTTAATAATAGATTTCTTTTTTTTCATATTTCAGAGAACACGTGTTGTCATTTCAAACAGGTGTTTCAAGTTAATTAAATAATAATAATAATACTTTTTTAAATAATAATACTTTTTATTTCTCCACAAAATACAACAACAAATAAGAAGTATCTTAGTAATTTTAGAACAGTATTTTGTAGGAGCTGGTGCTTGCTATAGGTTTAACACCTGTGCTACAAGTCACCAGAAATATGTTAAATGTTAAAATTGGAGCTAATTCTTGTGCATACATCTTCATTATTTTGGTCGATATCTCATCAAAGTCACAAGCATTAGAATTTTTTAATGTCGATATAATTTTTAATACTACGTACTAGTACTGGTTTAAAAAAAACAGGAAGCAGTTTGTTCGATTGACGATGACTTACTAACAAAGCTTACTAATATTGCCATAAATTGTGGGTATGGTTGAATGTGTTAAGGCAATAATGCATATTTAGCAACTTATTGTAATTTGAGTACACTGCTTTATTTAGCCTTTTTTGTAAAACTTGTGTCGTTGTTGTCTCCTTATTTTACGACACAGTTTTAGACCCTTAGTGATCCATTTGGGGTTTATTCTTATTTTAATACGAATTTTGTGTGGAAAAGTTGATAGAGAAGGCACAATATGTCATGAAAAGTAGCATAAGCATTATTTATATCACGATCTTGAAATGTATCATTGAATGAAATAGATTTGAAGTAATTTTTAAACTTTACAATATTTTCTTCACCGTAATTTCGTCTATATATGTATCAATATCGTGTCTCGATTGGTTTACTTTTTATTGGGACGTTTAATAATTGAGCAATATCATGATCAGATAGATGCAACTGTAAAAATGCAACTAATAACTATAATAGTTGCCTTATTAATGTTACTAAGAATAATTGTGATCCCTATATGTAATTTTTCTAGTAGGCTCTTGAACAAGGAGGGTTAGATTAAATACTTTAGCTATATCTTTAAAGTACGAGGATGCATTACTAGATTCCAATACATTGATGTTAAAATCTCCTGTGCTGTGATGATAACCCTTCTTTTCCTGTATCGTTTAAATCTTTGATATAATACTGATTCAAGGTTATTGCGGAATGGTACTACAATTTTTTATGTGAATTGTATATACAGAGGATCACTATGTTGTAAGGTAAGATGAGATCTCAATGCCACAGCATTCAAAAACTTTGGGTATCTGGTTTTTTTTAAAAGCTATTTATTATTAAGTAATGTATATTATAATTTGCGATTCTTTTTTATCTATATTATTTTGGATTGTTAAAGGAAAATGCAAATTTTTTTTGTGACTTTTAATTTATTTTGTCTTTTTGTATATAAGTATTTATACACATCATATTTATTTATTGTTTCAATAACATAAACCAACTCGTGCCACTTAAAACCCAAAATATTGGCATTCTTGATTTTGGACACTTCTTAGTATGGGCGAACCATCGCTCTACGCTACGTTGTATGTGGGCATTTCTAAAGCTTGTGGCGGAACACTGAAATCAACAAGTATTTCGTAACGGGAAACTTCAACTTCTCTGCCTTTATAAGGCAGGTAGCATGTACTATAATTTACATGAACTTTCCCAGTAATCAAGCTTCCTTCAATCATTGCGCGGCCAATATATAGGGGTTCTTTTCGGAGCTCAGAAAAGCCACCTACAAACGCGTTCTCTGGTATGTTATTTGAATGTGTTTTCACCCATTTTGCATTGTATCCACAAAGAATCTGTAAAATAAAGTTAAGAATTATTTGCACGGTAATATCTGTCTCTTCTATCTGTTTTCTTTCGTTAAATTATTCATTTGATTGTTTAATTTTCTTAGAGACAAACACCATCAATTCGTTTAATTAATGTATTGAAGATACAATATCATATTTAGGTAAAATGCAAAGCACAATGTACCTATTACGTATTACGTACCACATTTTATATTAAAATGTTCATAGTATATCGGAAGAATAAAATTAGGATAAAAAAGATCATAATATATAGGAAAAAGTGATGGATAGAGATCAAACATACAAACAACAAGTACATACAAAGATAAAAGTTTGCGTGATTCAGCATTACAAAAAATATGTTGCAAATTATTAAAAATCGGTTTATAGTAACAGTTTCATTCGAATTGTGTTTGTTTTTCGAAAGCTCTTCATTATTCTCCACAGACGTGCTGTTAGACGTGTAGTTAGTCATTGCAATGATACTGGTTTAAAATTTCTATCTACAGCCGTTCTATCTAGCATGTGCGAAGCTAGAACACTAAGCCAGGATCCTAGCTTTAAAAAACTAGCCTAGTGTATACGGGGCATTAAGGGCAGTAAGGGAAATATTTAATTTATTTTTGCTTTTTAAAATTTTTATTTGTATTGATATTCAGTTATTTTTTGGGAAATTACTCCACTACTTTGTTATAATTATTAATACAAAGGTCGAACACTCAGAAAAAATTCTTTCAATCCGGCCGGATTCGAACCGACGTCTTCTAGCTTACCGTGGCAGACGCTATACCAACTAAGCCAGGGAACGAACCAGTAAAACCTCAGAAATTTTTCTGTGTTTGAGTAATTTCACAAAAAAAATTTCAAATACAGCGAATGGCGACATATCTCGTCAGGACTGGTAGCTGTAAAGGTACTAAATGGATTATAAATCTTTCATAGGTTTCTCATAGATAACGTTACGACTAAAAAGTTGTTGAAAAACCAGATACAAAGACACGACCCAGCCACATAGAAAAATTCCTGAGGTCCGCTGGTTCGTTCCGTGGCTTAGTTGGTATAGCATCTGGCACGGTAAGCTAGAAGACGTCGGTTCGAGTCGGGCCGGATCGAGAGAATATTTTCTGAGTGTTCGATCTTTGTATTAATAATTATTTTTGCTTATTGTTAATTCAAACAATAATTTATAATCAATTTAATAATCTTTATTGACAGGCATAATAATGTGCTGCTCTTGAAGTATCATCTACTTAACTTTTTTTTAACAAATAGCGTATAATAAAAGTATGTTTTAGACCTTATAAGTTGGTTTAATGTCTATTCCTTTTAAAAGCATAGGTATGTTTTTGATGAGGAATTTCTATTGACGCATTTTATTAAAAAAAATATGCACTAGCGTTAAATTATAATTCTAAGAAACTCAAGGTTGTCATATATCTGTTCTTTTCTAATAACATACGCCATACACGCCTCGTATAAACTGCTACAAAAAAGCTCTTATCGCAGTAATAATAAAAATGTAAATAATATTCAATTAAGATTTAACTTACATCAAATTGTTCTTTCGCATGCTCTTCTCCGCCCCAAGGAACGAAGACTCGATGTTGTGAAGGTATGTATTTTCCGGGGCACAATGAATAGTTATGTACTGATCTTGCTACGTAAATTATCTCGTCTTCAAATCCGCCAACGAATGCCTGCTCGGGTAAATCACGGTTAGTCATAGACACCCAGTGCAGACAGCCATCTTTGAATATTTTATTTTTCGGAGACAAATTAATTGGTAAACCTGGAAGTCCAATACTTATTTATTAATTTAACCATTTATTTAACTATCAATGGAAGTTCATGGAGTTGTTATTATAATATTTTAACATAGGACTACGTTTATATGCATATGTATGGTTTAATAGAAAGTTATTCATCATACCACATAATTCCAGTTACAGTATCGAGTTCTTAGGTTTTCGCGATTGTTACACATAGCGAGCATGTCATGGATAAACCTACACATTCAATAAAGTTGGACAAACCCCAGGTCCTTGCAAAAGAAGTCCGTTATCTACCCAGGATGCTGCGAGAGGCCATTGAAATTAAAAAACATCCTAATTTCAACAGGGAATATGGTTTCTCCGTACCACCAGTTTGGGATCCAGTATTTCCTCTAATGAAAAATCCGAAACAGACATAAGACTGCAGTACTAATTAATATGTTTTAGTTTATTCTAGTTTCTATTAATAATTAAAATAAATTGAACTTAATAAAAATTCACTCAATAAAATAATTTGTAAAACTGAATATAGCGTAAATTGGAATGTTTTCTTTGTAAAATTAAAAATAACGTATTTAATTAATAACTATTGTAATTATAGTGAAAAAATAGGGTGGTTTGCATCAATATTAGACATAACTGGTTGAAGACTGTACCACCTCAGTCAACCGTGACCATGGGACCTGTAAAGGGCCCGAAACGTCGGTTTGTTTGAAAAAACAAATATACGCGATTTAAATCCGGAAAAATAGTTTCATTTCCAGTTACAGTACCTACTATAATTTTCTATAGTCCAAATTTTGTCATTAGAGTTTTTTTTTGGAAATCGACAATGATAATTATCATTGAAAACTCCAATTCTTTTGATTTGTGAATGTGAAAATAGCTTACTATGAATTAGCCACTGCGTCACATGTGTTGCTGTCGAGGTATACAATTTTATAAACCCTATATTTCGAGATGTTATGAGATCATCTCTGTATTCTACTATAGGTACAAGTCGATCGCGATCCACATAATGGAGTTGTATTACATTATTGTACCAATTTAAGGTAAACTCTCTGTAAGTGTCTTCTATAGATATTGGCATAACAAATTTAACTTTTCTGGCTTTTGTTACATCGTTTAACAGATATACTGGACCGAATGCAATCTGAAAAATAAATAAGTATAGTTTTAGAAGAATGGTTTTAGCTTGGTACATATTCTTCCCAAATTCAGCAATAATGTAAAATTTTTCATAATCAGTCATTATCTCAGTACAGAGTACTAAAAAACCGACCTCATAAATTCGTAGAACTACATCTTTTTGCCAAGTTTTATTGAAATCGGTTACCAGAAAGTGCGTGAAACCGGATTCATCCCCTAGTTTGCCACCCTTTAAGGTGGAATATTTTCTTCAAATTTAAATGACTGTTGAAGTTGAGTGTGTGCGTTATTATTATTATTATTATCTCCAATTTAATCTTCTTATTTAATTTGTATATTAATATCAGGCAATGTAATTTACCATATAGAGATCTTCACCTGGTTTGTCCCTGGAAGTTAGTGAAAAGTTGGCAAAACTTGCACCTCTTGGATATCGCAATTGGAATCTCATGGCACCATTATCTGCCCTATGTATTTCATATTTATTGTATACTGTAATCATGTCATAGTACTTACTCAAAATAAAGCTTAAAGATATTCATTAAACAGGAATTCGCAGGAAACATTTAAAGAACGTGTTGATGTTAATCTTCATTTCATTTTAATTCCAAATTGGTTTTTGTCTAATTTAACCTTCAACAACAATTCTTTCCACTACCTACTACTATTCTGCTGGCTCAACGAATGGTACGCTGACAGCCATGTTGCCGTTCCGTCAATGTAACTGTCAATATGCGGGGCGCGATGCGGTATTTAAAGTTAGGGAGTAGAGGGAAGTGACCATTCACGTTGCTTTTTTATTCTCTGTTGTGGTAAAAAGTCAGTTATCTCCTGCACTTTTTTACATGGTAGCACTAGAATTACTTTAAAATGCAACTTCGACTTCTTGGGTCAGTAGTTTTGTCCTACGATGCAGTAAAACCATTTCCGGAAATCCGGAATTCGAGAAAAGTAATAAATTAAAATTTGGTGGTTTTAACAACCCTAATATGTCGCTCCTTGTAGCTTTACATGTATCTATATAATGTGGAACACCTATTTCCGACTATTGATTGTTATACAGGGTGTAAATTTGAAACGGGGCAGCAAGGCCAGCTACCGTAATCGTTGCAGTTACAGGAAAACGGTTCTAAAGACTATCCATGAATTTTGAAGATATTTAGATTGTCATTCACCGATTTTGAAAAAATGGTACAGTCAGCAAGATAAAAGGCAATTTTTACAAATTTTTTTTTGCCATTTGATTTGGTCTCTGGTAAGGATCAACAGTCTCTACGGGACGAACTGAGGTAAGAGTACTCTAAATGTCAGAAATCGCAAAAAACCTTTTTACCATACATTTTGTAGAGACTTATTTAGTAATCATTTATTCTGGAAATAAGGAAACTAACAAATTGACAACGTATTATGTATTTAAAAATAAAAACAATAACGAAAAGCAAAATAACATGAAAAGTCTATGATAGTAAGTGCCCGAATTGATTGCCGCCTTGGCGGATGCATCGATTCGCTTTCTTCCGCAAAGAGCAAGTAGCGGCTGAAATTCTACTCAGATGGATTCTATTGAAAATTGCTGCAAGTGCGTTTTTCAATCATTGAACACTGTTGTATATTTTTATAAATTTAATTTTTTACATAGCCCAAAGAAAAAATCAAGGGGCGTCAGATCAGGACTGGGCGGTGGTCATTTGATAGGACCATGTGTTCCAATTAATTTGTTTCCACACTTGAGAATATTTTGATTAAAAATCGTCTTAAAGTGACAATTCTCTATTAACAAAACAAAGCTGTTCCAAATTAAAAAAATTGTGATATGATTATAATTTGGTTTTACTTAAGTCTTATTTGTAGAGTAGTGGCCAGTTTCGTTTCTAACAAAAAAATTTCATTTAAAATGTGTGGTAAAAGATTTTTTGCTGTTTCTGCCATTTCGAGTGCTCTTACCACAGTTGGTCACGTAGAGACTATTGATCCTTACCAAAGACCGGACCGAATGGCATAAAAAAAAAGTTTTGTAAAAATTGCCTTTTATCTTGCTGACTGTACTATGTTTTCAAAATCTGTAAATATGCCAATCAAAATATCTTCAAAATTCTGTAACTACAACGATTAAGGTAGCTGGCCTTGCTGCCCCGTCTCTTATTTACACCCTGTATACATATACAGCTACAAGTTTAGATTCACTTAGAAAAATAGAACGCGTACTTCCCGATATGGTGGAAAAAAGATATTTATACTGTTGTACGCGGATAGGCTACAAGGCAAAGAATCAAATATGAGAAGACCTGAGTGTAGAAAATGTAAACGAGTGATCAACGGCCTGCAAAAATTATAATACATGGGGGAGATTTTTGTGCATTTTTATGAGATACACCTTGGTGAATTTCCGCAGAAAGTAAAAAATGTTCGAAATTCAAATAAACAAGATGGCCGCCATACTTCAAAGCCTCCTATCACGGAAACTATTAGAGATAGGTAGGAGGTGCTCGAAGGAATGTCATAGAGGGTAACACTGGTCAACTGCTTGGGTTAAAAAAAATTCAAGATGGCGATTTCAAAATGGCGGCCGAAGAAAAACTTGCTTCGATCCGGCTGAAAATTGGCATGCGAGGATCTTTAGGAGTCCTTAATCATCAATCATCATCAATCATAATCACTTGGGGGTCAAACATTTCTTTTCGCCATTTTTTAATATGGCTGCCATATAGGTTCTTTTTTTCGTTAAAAATAGCTGCCGAAAGAGACTCGCTGTTTTTCAGCTGAAAACTTTCATGGAGGCCTCTAGAAGTACAAAATAATAATTTGTGCTCGAAATTGGTTTTTCGCCATTTTCAAATATGGCCGCCATACAAGCGTTTGTTGCCAGTAGAAAAAAAATTGTTCTGATCCCTTCCAAAATCTTCATTTGGGACTCTCTAGGAGTGCTTGATAATAATTTGTGATCAACATTAATTTATCGCCATTTTTCAATATGGCTGCCATAGAAGTATTTCTTGGCGGTAGATGAAAATTTGCTCTAATGCACTTGAAAATCAGCATGTGGACCCCCTATGCCGATTTTCAAGTGAATTACTCTATGGGTGTTTAACAATAACTTCCGGTCAAAATTTATTTTTCGCCATTTTTCAATATGGCTGCCTTACGAACTTTTTTAGCGGTTGATAAAATTTTGCTCTAATTCTACTGAAAATCGCCGTGAGGGGTTCTCTATGGGTGTTTAATAACAATTTGCAGTCAAAAGTTTATTTTTGCTATTTATCAATATAGCCGCCATTAAAGAGCTATGTTAATTTTTTTAAAGTCATAAGTGCCGAGGACGTAGGTCGAGGTCTAGCGGAGGGCGAAGCCCGAAGCGTCTGCACGCCACTTTACGTAGGTAGTATACGGGGACTAGATTTCACAATTGTTCAAAATGTCAGGCATACTTCCCGATGTAGTGGAAATAATATCTTATTTACTTATACAACTTATAGCGTTGTTGTATCTCGACTGTCTCTCTGTTAGATTCTTTTTTATTGGAAGCTATGCCAAAAAGAAAAGTATTTAGGGAAAAAATCCCAGACAATCACTTCAAATTTCTACTATAAAACTAGGGAATTTCCTGTATTATGAGTACCAGAGTAACGATAATTATGATGGCAATACCCAGAATACCCTGACCAGGACCAACTTAAAAATGTTTTTTCATAAATTGGCTCAAATAAGGGATCGAATCTGGAACCTCCTCATCAAGCGCCCATAGTGCTAATCACTGTGCCACCGAAGAGCATAAGCACACCCCCTAATATGAAAGCGACCATGCGCCATTATATTATTATATAATACATTGTTAATCTAAACTATACACGATATGATTACTTTGGAATAGCGAAACAAAACACAAAAAAATGTTTTTATGGGACAATTTTTGCATTTGGTAGTGTAAAAGTTTTTTGCACGACTTCACATTTTCACAATTTTCGAAAATTATTCTCATGAAAACCTTTGGTTTCCTAAAGTTTTAAATCATTGAGAGGGCTTACTTTTGCCTAGGTCTACTGCCAAAAATAGTATCAACTTCCAACTCAAAATCAGCTATTCCAAAATTAAGCCGTTTGTTAACTAAAAATGTAGTGTTAACTAACCTTTTACCAAAGTAAACATTCTTTTTGAGCTACAAGCAAAATCCAAGTACAGCCTTCTAGGTGAATAGTTTTATCTTACGATACAGTAAAACTATTTCTGGAAATCTGGAATTCGAGAAAAGTAACGAATTTATATTTAGTGGTTTTAACCACTCCATGTCATGCCTTGTGTCTATAATCATGTAAATCTACTCATTTGGGACACCTGTTCAGACCTTGCCTTGGTTATAACTTTTAATATATGAATTATGTTGTATTCTGGTGAGATAAAGATTTATTATAAATAAAATTATAACCTTTGGAAACTAGTATAATGTA